CCAATACTTAAGTCATTTGAATGATGTTATGATTTGTTTAAATCAAATACCTTGCCCTCTAGGATATGGTAAAAAGTTAGATTTAATGGTTGGCTATCAAGTTTAATACACATTTATATGGTCTAATGGAGAATGCAAAGAAAACATGGAGAAGTCAAGCTATTGGTTGTCTTTAAAAACCATGTTATACTCTGCCTCTCTCATCAAACTCCAAGTCTACAATTAAAAAAGATGTTATAAGGACTGCATTAATAAAGTCATATTAGAATGATTCATTTCATTTTGCATTTCTCATCTATTGAATATGAACTGAATTTAATTTTGCACAATGCTGTGAAAAGATATATCAAGTATATAAAAATGAAACATGCTGTCATTCAAAAATAAATACACAAAAATAATACTGCCAATGGAATAACCACTTCCAGTTACCCCCCTCTTCCCCCAACAGTGACTGATTTTATTTTTTACTGAATAATCCACATTTTAAAATTTACTTCTATAATAAGGGCTCTTGAGATGGTTGAGTGGGATCTGGGATTCTGATGGGCTGTCACAGAACAAAATTTCTCTGCAGAGAACCTCTCGAATTGACTGGAGACTACCACAGTTTCACTGGAACCAAGCCTTTAAAATACAGGCTTGGCAAATACAGAATTGTATTTAAAGGTCAAAGGTCAAAGAAAAATCTAAATTGATTAATCCTTAGAAAATATCTCCTTGATATCTCAGTTTTAACAACTATGCCTATTCTGAATAGTACTGTTCAGGTTATTACTTTGCAGTACATCACAGACCTCTAAAGCTCGTAACAAAAGATAACACCTACAACCAGAGAGACCTCTTGGCAGAGTGGGAGGACCATGGGCCAAGAATAAAGGTGTGACTCCAGGAACGGTCTTCTTGAGCAGACAGCCCACTTCACATTCTGAACTTGTGTTCTTCTCTAGGAAGAGGCATTTTGGTGTGGTAAGGATGAGTACTAAGCTAGAAGTGAGATCTTGCTTTAGACACAACTGCCACTAGCTACCTGAGTTCTGACAAGTTGCCCTATTTGCTTCTGTTTCACTCTAAAGGGACTGAATACCAAAAGTTTCAAGGTCCTAGAAGCTCTAAGAAGATTTCACTCCTTACAATTTTAACGTTTACCTTACTTATCAGCGTGTTTTGTTGGGAATCAGAGGACATATATAAAAGCATTTTATAATTTTTTTAACAAATACAAGTTGCCTGTTATTGTTTTAGAGATTTCCCTCATTATGCTACAGAAGTATAGAAACAGTTTTGAGATGCAGTATAACATGTTTACTACATGGTGGGGCATTATGAACTATAACCTACAATTTAATCTAAAATGTTAAAATTACAATTTTCTTTCTTTTTATCTCCCAGCTTTACTGAAGTATAATAGACAAAGTTATACAATTTTCTTTCTTATATATCACTCAGGAAAGATTTATAGTTTTAACTTTAATAGGATTAACTAATTTATTATTTTGTAATTAAGAACCTAGAATATCAGCCCAAGGAACAGTCTAAAATAAGTATTTCAAAGAAGTTATATCCAGATTTGTTTTTCTCTTCTAACCCACCCCTTATTCAGACACCAGCTGTATTTTTTTTTAAAAAAACACCTTTTATCGTCTTTCACACTCATACCTTTTTACCTAGAAAAGAAAATGTGAATTACTCGGTAGGGCACAATTTGACCCCAATCTACCTTTGCAAACTCAGTTTTTCCTAAACACATCCACCTCACATTTCCTTCAGCTAAACTAAGACTCAAATCACTCCCTAGCGATACAAAGCTCTTTTCTAAGTGTATATGTGTGGTTACCTGCTTCTTGGCTCAGTGGGCTTTCCTGAAGCCCCACTTGCTGATGAGGCCTATGAAGAAGACAAAGGCAAGGTCACTGAAGGTTTTATAAGACAGGGTAAGGCCCCTGGAACTCATTCTAATTGTGATAGAAAGACATTTAAGTTTTAAGCAGGGCAGTCACACGATCTAATTTATTTTTCAAGGAATCATGTTGACTGCAATGGGGAGAATAAGCTAAGAGACAAGAGGGGAAGTGGGCAAGTGGAGGGAGGAGGAAGAATCAGGAACGGCTCCTAGTTTTAGCTAAACTGCTGGGTAAATGTGGTAGAGAGAGTGCTGGGACTGGGAAGACCTGGTGTGTGGCAGGGGAAGTGGAAATGGGGGGAAGGGCTTTGGGGCAGGGAATCAAGCATTCTGCTTGGTCATGGAAAGTGTGAGAAACCTTTATTCCAGTGACGCTTTATTTATACGGTGATTTTAGAATTTATGCCACCCCACTTTGAAATGATTTGCTATATGCTCACTGTCTCTCCAACCAGACTGTAAGCTCCCTGAGGACTGAGACTGTAATATTTAGTCCCTATCCTTAGATGAGAGCCTTAAACAACGTAGCCACTTAAAATGATTTCAGAATGAATAAGGTAGTTCTCTAGAAACTGAAGAATACAAACCAAAGAAGAAAGAAATACTTTACTAGCAGTCTCCATTACCTAGAACTCACCCTGAATAAGGTCCATAGAAGTTAGAGCAGACCACAGACAATAAACCTACCTTGGAGACTAGCTTTCCAGCATATAAACTCATATATACACACACACACACTCAAATCAACCCTGTTCTTAAGCCTCTACCAAGACGGCTAGTGGGCCCGTACTGACTAGCTCTGTGTAAACAGCCTTTCTTTATACTGTACAAAGCCAAACATCTACAGACATCACTTGACTATTTAGATAGGATGTTTAAAAATCTTACTGAAAATCTATCTACATTATTATTTTTGCAGTTCTGTATCTCTGATTCTAACAGGTTATTTGTATAGTCAAAAATACTTAACTATTCCCTTTTAAAACTGGTTTGAATACTGAATAGAACCTCAGAATTTTTATGACAGAAACTCATCAAATCCAGAGCCCTTATGTACTTGTGGGGATCAGAAAACTGAGGCCTGAAGAAACTGTTCAAGACTCTATTGTCATTTAACAATGGAGTCACGTATAGAAACAAGTTCACCTGTTTCCTATAGCAGGATGTTTTCCACAAAGACTGGCTTTTTAATGAAAAAAAGGGAGTAATTTGGTCATTTTGCAACAGACTACGTATTCTGCTTTTATAAGTTTTCTATATTGTGACATCTCAATAAAGTTTTAAAGAAAAAAATTTTAAAGATTATGTGTTAAAATGAGGTCAGGCACATTAAGAACTAAAACAAAATCAAGTAGAGCAGTGTTATCATGTGTATCATGTAGCTTAATGGTAATGCTTCTGAGAGAGTGGACATGGAGGCACACACATGCTATAAATACACTGACTCAAGGCCTATATATGGCCAAGGAAAGCTGAAGGTAAATGGAGCTAATCCCATATACAATGGTGAAGTTTCTAAGGCTTGTCTTTATCACATCCAGCTTTCTCTTTATTCTTTCTCAGTATTCGTTATCTGTCTCAGTGGCAATCCCTCTTCTATTTCAAAGACCTTCCTATCTATCCTCTCTGATCTTTCCCTTTACAGAAAAGGAAAGAATTTTATATCTATCATCTACTCCTTGTTGGCTGACAAACTTAAGATACTACTTGAATGAATTTTAATCAATATATTAACTCAACCAAATATTTTTTTCTATGCCTTTAATCCTAAAGTATGAAATGAAAGATTTGTTCCCAGAAGAATTTTAGCTCTCAGGAGAAAAATGATAGGGATCCACTGGTGGAGACAGATTCCCTTCCTCCTCATCAATAAAATGACAGGATCTGAAGGCAAACCAAGTAGCTAGTTAGGGTGCAGAGAATAAGAGTCTAAAAAGACAGGGCCTGGTGTGCTCTCCATTATACATATGAATGACCAATAAACACTATGATTCCAACTGCTGGCAGATTAAATTTAAATTTCTAAAGTTTGGGATAACTTAATCATTCTAGTAATTTGAAGCTAGTATTCAGTATTTTCAAAGCTAGCATACACATACTCATCATGTTTAGTATTTAAGTACGTTATATTTGTATAGTACCTTATGCTGACAAAGTATATGTGCTATGTGATTTGAGCTTCAACAATTTATAAACATCATTTCTAGTTTCCAAATGAATATTCTAAGGTTCACAGGTAATAAAGAGAACAAAAGGCACAGTCAGGAGTGAATATAAGAGTTCCAGATCCAAGTAGTTTCTCACCATAATATGTAACTTATAAAGCAGTATTAAAATACCTTGCATATGTAAACTCCAAATACTTTCAAATCAGAAAATTTCAAAGATAATTGTTTTGTTATTCTCAGTTCTTATCTTTGTAAAAGAATTCAATGATAGAAAAAAATACTGTCTAAAAAATATAGCTAATGAATAGAAATAGTCATCTTTCGATCTCCAAAGTAACATTCTCGCCTAAATGCTCGTTCTTTGATGTTCTTTCAAAACCTTATTCAAATTAATTTAAAACATTGGCCTAAAAATTTTCAATTATATAGTTTCAACTCAGTGATTCACTTAGATTTCTGTAACTAGTTTCTTTGCCTATTTTATTAATTTGCTAACTTTGAAGAAACATGATATCACTGGCAGGCTGGATCCTATTTCTGCCAAAATGCATTTTACCTTGGATTCTTTGAAATGAATTGTAACATAAAATTAATTATGGTTCCTATATCTAAGGGAAACTGAATCAGTTTTAATAGTAAACATGTTTAAAACTCACATGTTTTGCTACTTTTCAATTATTATCTGTTCAATAGAATAGAGGTTGAGAGTATCTACTATTAAATTACCAAATTCACAATTGCTTTTGAAATCTTTAGTAAATTTTTAAAGGAAAAAAGGATGCTGGAATATAATTCAAGTGTGAAAACTGACCAAACTGACCATTACGATGATATGAGCTGTATTTCTGAAGTGAAATAAATGAAATTCATGAAAAAAAAAATAGCATTTGAACATTTGAAAGAATAGTCAAAGTAAGGAAGAGGCTCACCGGTCTGAGTGAAATCAAACCGACGCAGAATCTGACGAGTGTCCAGCACGTTCGACTGTTTTAACTTAGACTGTTGTGAAGAGGATGGGGTTGAAGTAAACGAGAGATTTTTGTTGACCTGTAATAGAAAAGCCAAATCAGAAACTAGAGCGAATTTCCTAGGTCACTGATGCAAAAACTGAATGAGAAATATTTGCTTACAAAGCATACCATGTCACATGGTAGGTCAAAAGGAGAGGTAATGATTTACATGCTTAGTTTTTTATGTTTACAAAACATAATAGGTTTTATCAAGAAAGGAATATAGTGGTAATAAAAGCATAATTCTATTAAAGTAAATCTGTCTTACTAATAACAAGTTAGCTTATGATGAAGTTGACATTATTAATAACAAAACAGAATGGTTTTAAAAGTTATGCAAAGAAATGCAAAAAAAAAAAAAGTGACTCCTTTCAATTAAGAAAGAGTTAAATGTTTCATATCCACATTTCTCTAGCATTTTGTAAAACAGCAGGTACTTCCTTTAAAGAGCCTGCACAGAAAACACCTGTAATATTCATGTTTATACACATCATGGTGACATAGATAACACAGCTGTAACCTAACTTGCCAAGTGAAACAGTTTCCACTGCATCAAAAAACCTTATTCTTAAGACACTGTTTAAAAACAGATTAAAATAATGTTCAAGAAAAATTTCTGTAAGTAAATATGATGTTTCTATAATACAAAAAACTACTATGATTGTCTGAGTACAATGGTCTCACAGAAATGCATAAGTACAATAATGTAACTACAGCTATTGAAAAATAAAGAATAGTCCACAAAAGAGTATTCACGGTTCATTAGTAAATTCTACTTATAACTTAGAATTAATTTCAGCAATGATCCAGTCTCAATAATAAATCATTCATTATATATTTATTATTTTTCATCACTTTCAAAAATTATTATAAAATGTGATCTAATTTTGAAAAATCCAAAACAGTATGAATTTCTAATTTACTGTGAAAAACATAATCTGTGAATTAGTAAAATATTAAATGAAAGTTTATAAATATTTGTGTATGAAAGTAGCTGCCCTCTCTTTTTTAAATAATCAAAATCGCACAGAGAACTTCCCCTGGATTAGTATTTAAAAATTCTCTTTTGATGTTCTGTATTAGACAGTAGGTTGTGGTTACATGCCCTTTATCTGACTTTTTATTTACATTATGTTTGTAAACGCTTGCCTTCTTCCTTGTAAACAGTGATAGTAAATGGTATATCTTCGATTAAATTTTTCTCTTGAAGAGGAAAAAGCTTTTACATATTTAGTGAAAGTCAATTAAGACCATATAATAATATAGTCTTAATGTTCCTAAACTGTTATGATGTTCTATAAATAACAAAAATGTTTTTCAAAGTAGTTAGATGGGATCAAATACCTATTCAGTGCTAAACAAACCACCCAGCCTTAACAACTCTATAAGGAGCCATTATTAAACACTGACCAAAATTAACGTTGACTATTTATAGTAATATCATAAAGTAACAATGAAGCCATATAACATTTTTGAGCTTCATTTTCCATCTTTAAATGAAAATAATAAAAATGTATGTATGCTCAATGGGAATGTGCTGTGGGAGCAATAAAGATGAACTGTTATCAGAGAGTGCTATCCACATATACCAACCATAAAGCACTAAATAACAAACAAGAAACAGATTAAATAGGGTATGTTAGCAAAGAGAAAACACAAAGTGCTATATAAATATTAGTTATTATTATTAACATCATTAGAAGTAAGAATAATTAGAAATATGTAATGTATGATGATGCAGTAAATTTTTCAGAGTACTATGCTTTTAAATGGAAGTACTATCTACAAAATGATATATTTATCGCTTAACTACTTAGTCCACTTCTCTTTTTAGAGTCATTTTTTCAGTTTTACTTCTGTGTTCTTGAAAATTTTTATCCTACATCTCAAACAATGCATTTTGAAATCTGGTGCAAAAGAACAGGTGTATGCTGGGGACAATCTCTCTCTCTCCCTCTCCCTCTCTCCTTCCCTCCCCTGCCCCCTCCCCCTCTTTCTCTCCTCTCTTCAGTCTTCCTCTTCATAAATTTACTTGGGCTAAAACCAAAGAGAACACCAGGAAAGCAAGAATAGGATCTTTAAATGTCCCCACTCAAAATGAAAGACTTGTCACTTTTTCAATAAAATGCTATTAAAAACAAACAGCTATAATGTACAATTAATGTTCTTCCTAAAGCATTTTTATGATTGTTCTTTTTTGACACATTTCTTTAGAGACTATCAAATGTTCATGTAGTGATGAGAGGCAACATAAAGCAGATAACTCAATTTATAAGGTTTGAGATAACTGTTAATTATTATAGTGATTTGAAATGAGAACTCAAAATATTATCAAAGCTAGCCTACATATATTCACTACTTCATTTAGAGGAAGAAAAATAATAATAACCATTAAATAAAATGAAGCAATATCTATTTTTGAAATATATGCTGTGGAAAAGAATTGCTTAATAATTTTACAACAACAGAAAGTTGACTAAGATAGTCTACCCTACATCAATCTACCCTCTTTTCACAACACACTTTTCTGCTTGCTTCATGCAAAAACCACAGTCTGCCAGAGTCAGTTTATTACCTCCATATTGGGGAAAACTAAAAGCATAAAAATTTAATGAAATTCATCTTAGAGAAACAGAAAAAAAATTCACTTGAACTTCTACCAAGTTAATTTTACAAAACTGCTTTTGCCTGCTCTTTCAGGGTATAAGCAGCTTTGTGCAAAATATGCAAATACTAATTCTCTATGAGGGGGTAAATTTTCATGTTAGAAAGTTAAAATGAGCTAACAATTAGTTTCTCTCTTAGTGAGTAATTAAATTTTAAATCCTTTGGGAGAGATACAACACTCATTTTTATATTATGTGGGGGCTAAAAAAAATAATTTTCTTCCCACCTTCTAAGCTCTTCTAGCTGGGCTAATAAGCAAATTAAAAAGAGAAAGTGTCCAAAGTTTATTATACAAATGCACATTCGGGGGTGCCATAAGACTGAGACCCAAAGAGGCATTGGAGCAGCTGACAAAGGAGAAAAGGAGAAGGGAAAGGGGGAAAAAAAGGCACCTCATAGGTAGCTGAAAAAGGTCATAACATACATGGCTAACAAATTCCTGCTAGGCAATCCAGAAACTATGGGACCCGGGGATGCTGGGCAGAATCTAGCTAACAGGCCCTCGCTTTGAGCCATCCTAACTAATGCTAGGGCGAATGCACCAAGATTCCCTTCCCAGAGCCTGCCTTTCTATCTGAATCTCTTAGGCAGGAAGGGGGAGGGTCAAAAGTTCTTTCTAAGTTTCTTTGTTTCTGAATAACCAGCTTAAATCAATATCTCAAAAGGCACATTTTGGATGGCAAAACTTTGGTCCCCTTCACCTACAAGTCTAATTATTTTAGCTTACTAAATTAGGTTATATGCTTGCTACATTTACCTGAATTAGAATTCTTAAAGTTTCAAGCTGCAAAGAAACTTCAAGCTCATTTTAACTTACAACCGAAAAGATGTTAATACTGTCTATATACTTATGTTCACAAATTTGTCCCCCTCCCTCCAGACGGCTGTCTATTTTTTCCACTAAATCCAAACGATGCAGATAAAATGTTAAATTGAAGACAGTTCTGGTGGCAAAAAACCTCCAAATACCCAGAAAATGTTTTGTTGACATCATACATCTGTTATAAAAATTAAAATCCCAATATCAAAGTACAAGTTAAACAGAAAACTTGAGCCAAAACGAGATTCAAGGTATATGAAATCGGGTACCTTAATATTCTCCTATTATAAATTCTAAAAACGGCTTACGTTCCTGTAATTTCCACATTAGTAAAACCTAAGAAATGAGTAGCCTATGGTTGTCATAAAGAGAAATTCAAAACATGATGTCTAGGTCCTCCTTTATAAGCTGGGACAATGAAGTGCAGCAATTAGGTTTAGAAACCCTGATGCTGTTAAAGATCAAAATTTTTACGACAGGGTAAGGTGCCAGAAAATCTCCCATAGTTTATCATAACTACATGAACTAAAACAAGAACTCAAATTTGAATCAACTGTAACAAAGTTTTATTTGTAATATTTAATCAAGAGTTTTTGAGCTTTGATATATATACCTAGGATTGATGGTTCAAAGATTACTGATGTGATTCCCCTGTGTGATGCTCGAAATTAAGATTTAGTGCTGGTTCAAACCATTTACCCAACGTTATGTCCCACTGAAAGCCAATTTACCTCAATGCATCTTGGCTTTCTCCAAACCTTTAACTCCTTTCTCAATATATTTCCTTACTTTATGGGGAAAATTTGGCCCTCAACCCTCTGAAATCCTCTTTTTCAAACCTATAAAAGAATATACCTCTTGAAGCTACCCTCACCTCTTTTCTTCTAGTGTCAGAGGAAGAGTTGCCCTTTTATTCAAGATTAATCCCTCCATATGTTCCTCTGGGGATGTCCTTAAGGGTCTTCCAAATTTTACTTTCAAATTTTCTACAGGCTGTTTCCTTACAAACTATAAGCAGAGATTTTTCTACTTTAATACAAAAACAAATAGCAAACAGTGAAAATTCTCACAATGATTCCATAATTTCCTTAAGCTTCACTAAAGTGAAACTCCTGAAAAAACAGCCCAGGACTACTATCCATATACCTCAACCATTTAATTTCAACCAGTTAAAATGAAGCTTTTCTCCATCAGAACGCTAAATCCGAAGTTTGTCACTCTGGACTTCCAATGATCAAATTTAGCAGATTCATCGAGGCCTCTGAGATACCTAACACTGTCGATCACTGTTCCCCCACTACTGGAAAACCATTTTCTGTTGGTTATCCTGCCATCGCTTATCAGTGTTGTCTGCTACACCAACTGGGCCCTCTTATTCCCCCTTATTACCGCAAGGCTACCCTGCTTGGGCAGTTTTTGTTTTCACCGCTTCATCAGCCTTCTATGCTGACACTTCTGAAATCTAAAACTTTTCTGATCAATAAGTTTAGAACTAAACTAACATTTTCTCCACTATTTATTTCCTCGAGGAAAGCTATCGCTATCCACCTTGCTGTCCCTGCCAGAAAGATGGGAATCATCCAAGACTGCTTCCTCACACTCCACAGTGTCAGTCACTAAGCCTATTAGATGCTCTGGCATCTGATCCTACTCTTTCTCCACAGTTAGCGCTTTGGTTCAGGCCTTCCTATTACTTATAAACAACTGTAATAGTCTCCTGATTTGTTTACCTATCTCTTGTCTATTTCTCAGGGTTGTTTTTTTTTTTTTTTATAATGCTACCAGGATTTTTCTAAAATGCTAATTTTATTGAGTAACACTTCTGCTTAAAACCTATTATCAATCAACTGTCTCACCAGATAAATTCCATACTTTTTAGTACGGCATACAGAGCTTTCTCTATTTTAACAACTACCTAGCTTGATAACCTTATTGCTCCATTTCCTATTCTCTGGCTACAGCAAACTGCATAGATATAGCTCCCCAGACATGCCAGGTTGTTCCACGTCTCTCTGACTTAGCTCATGCTGTTCTTGTTCTCATTTCCTGGAATGGGCTCCCTCTACCTCCGGCTCCAACTTCCTGGGCATGTCACCCCTTTTTTCTAGCTTCAGTTCAAGTATTACATTATGTATAAAAAACTTTTAAGACTTTCCCAACATAGTTTACCTTTCCCTCTCATTTCTCCAATATGTCCCATGTCTTCTATTACCGCCTCCGGGGTACATTATTAACTTCTCTATCACCACTGAATTATTCCCATCAGCAAATAACTATGCTTCAGTATTGTCCATCTAATATTCACTCCAGCTCCTGTTCCTTTTCTCCTCAGTCAAAATTTCTTTAAAAAACTGGACTATACAGTCTCTGCCTTATTGGATCCTATTCTATCTTCAGTCCACTTCAGCTGTGCTTTCGTCTCTGCCACTTACTGAAATAGAATTTATCAAGGTAACCAAAGGACATCATCTCGCCAAATATAATGATCAATTTTGTCCTCATTTTACTCATTCTTTCACTAGTATGTGACAGTTTATCACTCTTCTTTCTTAAATATTTGTCTCTAGGCATCCCTGATATACCCTCTCCTGGACCAGAGCCTCAAATATTTAGCTATACTCTCCTCCCAGGTTATCCTACTTAAGCATAGTGGTCTTCCCTCTGCTCCTTGAGCATGCCAGTTTTATTTCTAGATGAGGATTTTGTAGGACAGGACTAGTTCCTAATCAAGTGTTTCTCTTAGAGGGGCTTCCGTGATCATCCTTTGAGTAGTCTCTCCTCCCAGTCTTTCTCTGTTGCAGGGCATATTTTATTTTCGTCACATCACTTATTGTATGAAATCACCTGATTTATTTCCTTTTTTATTGTCATTTCCCTATAATAAAATTTTTGCATTCATTGTTACATCCTAGGCATATATGCGCACACAGACAAACATGCACAAATTTTTGCATTCATTGTTACATCCTAGGCATATATACGCACGCAGACAAACATGCACACAAACACACACACACACACACACACACACACACACAGAGAAAATGACTGCTAAGGTATATAGGGTTTCTTTTTGGAAGGAATAATAAAGTTCTAAAATCAGATAGTAGTGATGGTTGCACAACTCTGTGAATGTGGTAAAAATCAGTGACTTGTACATCTTAAAAGGGTGAATATTATGGTATGTGAATTATTTCTCGGTAAGACTTATTCTTTTAAAAAAACTAGACACTAGTAAAGTTAATCTTTACAGATCTCAACTAATTTCCAAGTACATCATCATATTTTCAATAACCATTTATTCTACTTTCATCAAGTAATAGGGATACAAAGATAAATAACATGATCCTCAACCCTCAGGGAGTTTCCAGATTAGCAGCAAACATTCCCCACAAAGCCTTGCAAATATGTGCAGAACATTTTGGACATTCAGATAGTATTACAAAGAAGGGCATATAGTATATTTGTTAAAATAAATAGTTCTGAATTGCTAGTGAAAGAATAAACTATTTTTTGACTCCAGTTTTATATTCTATGCATACTTAGGAAGATTAATAATCTTGGAGCAACAATCATTACACCCATCATTGCTATCAGGAACAAGTTTCCTGAACATCTGCAGCCCAAGTCAGAATACAGTGTGTTCTCTTTTTCCCCCCATCTTCCTTCCCCTTGTCTACATTCCATATCCTGCTGAGTTGTGATAATTAGGTAAAAAAGTGATAGGTCCTGACTGATACTCAACAGCTCAGTGGTGGGGAAAACCCAGTGTTTTCTGACATGTTTCCTCCATAAGATGCCCAACGTAGAAAGAGACAGTAGCCTACTTACTTCTGTATTCCAAGTGCCTGCCGCATAGTAGCGGCAGGTGTTTATTGAATAAAAAGATATTCCCACTGCACTGCCATTATATAAAGCAGTCTTTGAACACACCAACACCATTCTAATTATTTCCCTTCTGGATGTCTCACCCTTTTACTTTGTGACACATATAATTATATTTGATCAATGAATAGATGTCTAATAATTCAACTGAATTTTGGGAGTGAACCGAAAAAAAGAAGAGAGAAGGATGAACATGTGGTGCCATTCCAACTCTTTTAAATTAAAATTTATTTTCTTGACAATGGAGTTAAAGAATGTACACAAAATAAACTTGCTTATAAAAGGAAGAAAGCTGCTGTGTTGAAAGCATCTCGGGTACAATTTAGTTAAAATTGTTTAACAATCAAGAGCTTTTTGTACACTAGTGTGCTTGGACTAATTGGGGGGTCTTGGGCAAATCACTTAACCTCAATAAGCCTCAGCTTTCTTCTTTCTAAAACTGAAATAACAACATGTAATCTGTCTCTCAGGACTGTTATATAGTTAAATGGGAAAAGAAGTGTGAAACATTGGTATAAATGATCAAAAGCATTATTAGCACAATATGTCATTGTTATTTATGTGAAGCTTGTATGCACTTGAGGATTATACAATTTACTCAGCATGCACTCACTGAAAATGTAGTAAGTGTCTCTTACCTACTAAGTATCATGTAATATTTTTCTCAGAGAATGAAATGACCTTGCTGGTCCTTTACTGAAAGTATATCCCAATCACTTAGTATTTTTAAATCTACAAAAATATGAACCCACTTGCTAAATTCTCAGGTCCCAATATTAAAATTCCTTGAGATATTCAAGGTCAAATAAGGAAAATACATATCAACTTAACTTTTGTAAAAGTTCTATTAAAAACTATGAATGGTTCATTTGAATTCTTTGGTGCATCGCAATGAAAACTCTAGTTTTAAAGTTATCTTCTTGGTAATAAAAACTACTTACTTTTGCAGCACAGGCTCGCATCACCTCCTAAAAAATACAATAAGAAAAGAAATATTAATAATATTTTTATGTTAATAAAATAGCAACTCTTTTCAATACAAATATTAACATTTTAATAACCAAAATCAATATTTAGGAGTTTCTTAATCTATTATCCTGTAGTTGTCATTCTATATTTCCAATGGGCTGAAAAAAGTGTAAATTAAAGAAAGACACTCAATGCCATGTTCTTGGTAAATCTAACTTATCAAATGGCACGGACAAACAAGATTCTGTTTTGTTTGGGTTCCCACATGTACCTGTCTCAAGAAAAACTTGTTTCCTCAATAAACTACCATAAATAATAAAATTCTGTACCAGAACACTAACATGTCTAAAAGTCACACTCTGAATTAATTGACATATATAATTATCTCTGTAAATAACAATACCCATAAATATAATTCCTATATTAATAATCTATTTCATTGAAAATCTAATAACAACACCACTGAATGGTAAAGTATATGACCAATACTGAAGGAGCTGCAGAAAGAAACTGCCTACAATTCATGGGACAAGGCCAAAAAAAGATCGCTTTTGAAAAACAAACTTGTAAAAGTCAATATATAATGAATGACTTAAAAATCTGCTGCTAAGGACACACACACACAAAAATACTCAAGTCCAATTAAAGTGAACTAGAATATATTATCAGCCCAGTATAGAACCAGAGAAAAATGGCAACAATTAATGTGGAGTTTAGGAAAAAAGAGAACTGAAAAAGAGGAACATCAATTTTTTTAATCCAGAAATTTCTAAGGGCCAGATACTATGTCTAAAGAATATTAGTAATTCTATCACTAAAGAGAGGTAGTAAAACTGACTGTGAACATGGGACTCTCAGTGCCTGGACAGAATCTCAGCTCCAATGAGCACCATCTGTGTGATGTTGGCGATACAGCTTTATCTTTGTAAGCCTCAATGTTATCTTCTGTAAAATGGAAGGTTCTTTACATTATAGAATGGCTTGAGGATTAAATATAATAAACATGTAGAGCACTTAGCACAGTACCCAGAATTCATTATGTCAGTTTTACTCATCCCTAAATAGATATTAGTTGTCACCAATCATTATAAGGTGAAATTTCCTGTGGAGTAAAGAAAATTAACCTTTTTCAAAACTGGCACACAACATTTTTATACATATCTAATCCCCATTCCTATGACTCTGCTTAACAATCAATGCTATAATCAATAACCTGGGTTTCAGGTTAATTTTAGAAAAGGAGAATGATTGTGAGTGTTTGGGTAGTTGAAAAGGTATACCTTTCATTATAAGATTTTTTTTGTTTATAAGTCAACTTTTTGTAAGGCTGATTACTCCTAATAGGTATCTCAAATTCTGAGAAATTCTGGATGCACTAATAAGGTCGAATTTCTCGATCTGAAAACTTAGAATGAGTTGCACGATGTCTCAAGATACTGTCTACCTGTGAGGTCTTTCCTAGGTTGTAGTATGCTTTTCAGGTGCTGCTATAACAATGTACGGTCAAGTCTTTCAAATATAAAACAGTCTGTTAAATGACTTATATTACGACTAAATGGTAAGGGAATTAATGTATTCTTTGTATGCTTTACTCACTGAGTAAACACCTATTAAATACCTGCTGAATTTTTTATGCAATACACACACACACACACAGACACACACAGACACACACATCCTAAACTGCTCTATATTTTATTTTTAAAAAACCATTCCTATTGTGGTTACAAAAAAAAAAAGTAGCTCCTGTAATATAATACGAAAGTAATAGTCTTCTTTATTAGACTTCTATACAGAAGACGAGTGATACAGTTCTTAATAGACTAAGTAACCAGCTAACAAAAAAAAAGGAATTTAGGGCTATTAAAGGAAACAAGAGGAAAGGAGTTATGACAAAAAGTGGGAATCTAGTCAACTTAAACCTTGCAAAATATAAAAAGAATAACACTGCCATGGGAATAAAGATGGCACTTTGTTTTTATTCCTATACATACTCTATACGTTCTGAAAGTAAAGTTCAGTGAATTGTCTTAACACAGGAAAAAATATGGTTTTTCAAAAACCACAGCAAATAGACAAATCTTCCATTTCCAAAGGCAGCTTTGATATACCTCAATCCCAAAGTAAACATATTCTCTAAATAATTTTTAAAAGAAAAGATTTGGTTAATGCTAATTTCATGATTATAAGAAAAGTAAGATTTCCTCTTTCCATAAATTATCAATTTACTTCCTCCTTGTCTTTGATTTCAAATCTTAAAAAATATTTTTCTGATTTTATTTTTCCTTTATATCTACTTTGTTTTGTTCTTAGAGTCTTTCATTTGCCTGAGGATGACAGCTATATAAGATGATATAAAAGAAAAGCTACAAGACAAAGTGATTCCAGGATGCCCAGTTATACAAGTGTAAAGACTGGCAGATTGTAGGAAACTTTTTTATACATCTATGAATTGCTCTTAAGTCGGTAGATAAAGTAATTTTGCCATGCAACATTTTACACAAGGGGCATTTTTTTTTCCATGTAAAGAAACATTTTTTCTTATTTTTAAAACTCCATTTATTCATACTTCCTTTCAAAATGAAATGTCATGCATTATTCAATTATTTTCAAATGTTAAAATACAAAGAATTATAATGCCGAAATGAGTTTATTAATTTATCATCATATATTCTAAAATTTATACTGAGAAATAGAAAAAAAATTGCCCCATATTCTAACCAAATCTAAACCACAGCCTGAATGTGAACTGTGCTGTGGTATACCTTAAATTCTCTAACTTTCAAAGAAACAAAAAAAGAGAGAAAGAAAGTATAGTCAGAACTAAAGGTGTGTTGACGTAGTTCCTAGTATGTTTGGTTTAAAAATGGTCACA